GCAAGATGGAAAGCTTCAACACATAAACCGTAGGGGACAATCAACGGAGCACAACGGGTTCAGAAACTATGAGCAACTCTGAAATCGACCTCACGTTATCAGCGGATGAAGGCCACACCGAGGACCGTCAGGAGAAAAAGCGCACTTACGACGAAGATAGCTATTACGAGGAAGGCAGCTGTAGTCAAAAAGTACTTGAGGAAGACCGCCAATCCCAGGACAGCGTCCAGGAAAAGCGTAGTCACGAAGAGAAATGCAACTGGCAAGACGACAGCGCTGCTCCGACAAAGTCTGGTAAACTCGAATGCATGCCCAGCTCACGATCCACGCTCAGACCCAACCTACTCCAACCAGCTATCATGGAAGATAATGAAGATCTCCTTGGAGGGTCAAACACAGCCCGAGGACTAAGCTAGATGAAGACTTTAAAAAGGACGAATATAAAATCGAAGACGTCTTTGGTCCCCTGTTTCCTCCCCTTTCTAGAGCCACTTGCAGGAGTCGGACTTCATAGTCTCGTAGCTACAACAACACAAGCCCAGAATGTTACTGGAGGATCTCACCGGCTCTTACTGAGCTCTGGCTCCGCGACTGCCGCAGACTGAAACATAAAGTTGTCACGGACCTCGAGGCTGGTTGGAAGGACTACCTAAGTCTCAACATCCCAGGGAATGGATGACGGGTCCAGAAGCAGCTGAAGAAAGAGTATGGGAAGTTGCATGCAAATGTCAGGAAGGCGAAAGAGGTTGCCCTGGCGAGGAATGATAGTTTTGTAACTGTTGTAGGAGCGGGAGGAGAAGACTGGGCTCTGGACTATCATGCTGACTTCGCGGAAGGCGAAGGTAATTTTCACAGCGGCAAAAAGGGCGGAAAGGGGAAAAACAAGGGCTGCATAGTAATGTGAGAAGTCAAGTGGAGTTGTGGATTTCTTGAGCAATAATGTTGGCGCTTTTTACCAATACATGATGATTATGCCTCTTTCTTATGCGATGTGACTTGCCCTCGCAACATCAAATTTTCCAACATTTCAGAGTTCACTGTATGAGATTCTATACCTAGGTAGTCATTCTACAGTTCTCTATATGCCAATGCCAATGTTTACTGCCCCTTTTCGCTTCGTAAGATGCATCAGCCGTTCGATTTGGTTTTCTTTTGGTACTTGATGAATTACCTCCCTCTGATTCACAAAGCGAGTCGCTTAGTAGGATCACTCACTTCTCAACATTCAATCGTAATCAATCTTCCTAGCTATTAGTCACTCATATTTCACGTATAACTTGAAAGAATTCCTTCATGCTTTATCTCTAATTTCTCTCTTTTCCCCTTACAACTCTCCACAGACAAGTGTTCTCCTAGATCAAGCAGTATGTCCAACCCCAGACCAGGCCCTGTCCGAAATAGATGGCACGGCGGCGGTAACCAGCCCTCTCCCCGAAGTAGCGGAGCCCGCAGCCTACTCGGAAGCGGTGGGCCACCCGATCCAGGAAACCCTCGCGCACCAACACAGAATTACCCACCACTCGGTCCACTCTTACCGCCAAGAGGTGGCGGTAGGAGTGGTGGTGCAAGCAACTGTCGCGCGCAAGCACAGAATTACCCACCACCCGGTGCACTCCCCTTTCCGCAAAACGGTGCAGTAGGTAACGGCAGCGGTGGTAAGAACGGTGGTAGAAACCCCGTTATGGGTCCACAAAGCGGTGGTGGCGGGGGATCACCTAGCTTCGGCGGACCCACGAGAAGAAAGGGGAGCGCTAGGGTAAGGGGCTTTGCGAGACGGAAGGGGGAGTGGAAGCCGTGGCACTATGGGCTCGATATCAGCAATGATCTGCTTGGTCATCCGGCATTTATCGATTCGAAACCTTTGCCACCGCTGGGGGGGTATCCGAAGGAGAATAAGTGAAATAAATGCGGGAACGAGAGAGTAAGGAAGGTGTTGTGGTGTAGAGTTTAGTAGAGTTTAGTAGAATTATAGACATCGATGGATATTCCTAAAAATAGCCCTCTACGTGTGGCTCTTGTGAACGTGAGTCGAATACAGAGCGCCTCGGGGCTTTTTGCTAGTGTCTCGTATTCCACAGTATGAATACCGAGACTCCATCTCATGTCTGCGTATATGATGAGGATGTGACTCGCTTACAAGCAGGGGTTGTGATTCAGGAGAGTCTGTCACGTGCACTACGTACCTATCACTTGAAATTTGTGACGCTGACTTATTTCGAGACTCGAAGCTAGCATTCATGACCTGGGGAAAAGATACTCTACCAGCCTCCCGGAAGACTTTTTCTGTCCTATTATGAAATTACTCCTATCACCTCGTAAATGTTACCCCGCTTACCCCGCACTGGTAAAACGTCTCTGCTATTCTTCGTGGTTGGAGCAAGACCTTAAACAAGCCTACTAAGTGTACGGAGTATAAAGCAGTAGTAAAAGCTCTTGGAGTCGACAAGCATTACTAGAACTGCGGTCTGAGATTCTGGTTGCGTTTATTAGTATTCACCGCTTAGTATTACATGTTGTTTCCCCATGAACATGATTGCTGTCAGCTTAATAATCAAATGGCTACTAGAACAGCTTTACTGTCCTTGTCATTCACTCATTCCCTACAATAGCCACAAAAGTCCAAGCAGAATTCTTATTTGGAGCTCTCGTAATCCCTTGCTAATATATTATTAGAACATTGCAAGCTCTATTTCTTAACTTCAGCATTAATAGGTTCTATCAATGCGGCTTTCTCTAAAACATGATTGCTGGTCTTATAATAAACTGGAAAAACAAACGAACGCCTTGTTATTCATTCTATAATCGTTAGTGGAGGATGAAGTATAAAAGCAAGCTGACCGAAAGATCGAAACTACGATACCGAAAACAGAATGGCGACGTCCCAGTTGCACACCCTCCGCGGCCTTCGCTATGTCTCGTTGATATATAATAATATAGGCTACACTAAAGTTCCCGGTAGCAACCTCCACGCATCATATGTCACAGAAAGACTTTACTAACAATGGGTTAATGCTGTTGTGAAAGAAAGCGTTGTTATGAAATTTCATTCGTTCATTTGCTCGCTGGAATTTCACCTGAACAGGAATCAGGAAAGTGAATGAAAGTTAGGAGGTAACAAGTTGGCGGTTTGAAAGAGGTGGTGATAAGCAGCATAGGGCAAGTTTGGCCGGAACTCCACTTATACTGGTATTCTACTTCTTAGGTGGCCTTCCAGGAATCCTTTAGACTTCCATATGCTTAAATACCATAGTCAGGAAAAACCTTACGGTGATAAAGCCAAAATATCAAAGGTAGAATGCACCTTCTAAGTTCTTTTAGCCCTCCAGGTTCTTAGAGTACAAAAGCAATTGCTCCTACATCTTTAACTTAGCAAACCGGCTCATTCTTCTCCGGTATGATGACGATATTGCGACGCGTGTAGTACTGGTTGCTCACTGCGGACCATACTTACATATGCTAATTTCCATCAAGGCTACCTCAATCTCCAAACCCTTACAAAAACTACAGTGCTATAAAAAAGCTATTAGAAGAAATTGCTGTCAGACACAACCTGCTGTTATTTCCCCAGTCCCTTCATTCATTCATTCACTCACTCGATCGATTTCCAGTCACTTTATACGCGAAAGAAAAGAACACAACACTCGCAGGACAGGTATCTCTTCCCATTGGAACTGATAAGGATAAATCGGTAAAAGGTAGTACAGTTCACTCTAAAATTTTCATTGAGCCAGTCCCCAGTGCGAACTGCGAGAATATGGGTTGGGTTGTCGGCCATGTGCGCAAAGAAAATGCACGAAGCCTTGATTTTATAAGACCTACGGATGCTATGACGAGGTATCCTCATAGGATGGAAATCTACTTTCGAAAGGTCGCCCTATCTGGTAAGATTACAATTGAAAAACGCGTTACTTACTTACCCACAGCCTTTCGAAGCCAAGGCTGTGCCGATTTTCAACCCATCCATACGATTTGCAACGGCAACTTTTCTTTCTATTCTTGTGCTAAGCACTGGAAGGAGACTCAGCAGATAGACAGATGTCTTAGTTAGATAGTTAAACTATACCTCTCTCTCTCTTTCTCAAAACGAGTATATAAAATACCCGACGGCAGTACGGTTTATTTCCATCATCACCAGAAAAATATCTTGAGAAGCCAGGATTTATGCACAGCGTGCATCTCCGCGCAGCTCAAGTGGATGTCTATACTATAAACACTCGAGGTTGACTGGGGATCTGGGATACAGAAGCCAGCCCAGGGGAGGGGGGGTGTGGGCGGGGGCTTGAATGAGTGGGAAGGAAAGTGAGTGAGTTGAAACGACTTCGCTGTTAGAATTGTGCGGTCGGTCGGTCGTTTGCTTAATGTAGTGGTGGGGGGAAGGAAAGATGGGATGAGGGATGAGGGATGGGCTGGAGATATTGATATGTAGGTAGGTACATGTTGCCTGCTTATCCTTCTTCTCCCACTCTGCATGCTCAGAGACTTAGTGCTCTCACACACACATGTATCCACCTTTTTAGCAACGACTCTGCTGCAGGCATTTCTGCTTGCTGGTCTGGTCGAAGAGGGAGATGGGGTTTTTGAAACTTGTCGTTAAGTAGTATGTGAATAGGCGGGGCGATGAATGATAGAGGAGGCAAGTAAGGCTTTCTGTGGATTTTGGTGAGAGGGTTTGAGTTACTGCCTCTGAGGTGAATGTGAAGAAGATCTTCGCTTGTGGGTGAGGAACTTCGACCGGCTCTTTGCAAGGGGTGACTCTATGTAGGGTGCGTGATCTCGTTCACTGGAGAGAAGTAGAGAAGTCGATAAGTCTACCTGGTGGGTGTGTATGGTTGTGGTAGTGGATCTTCTGTATCTGATCTGGATTTCGTGGTATTGCTTGCTATTATATACCTAATATCACCGTGGAAATAGTAGTGAAGATCTCATTTTTCGACATGAACATTCACCCTGTACCATCAAGACTTCACCTAGATTTTGCATACTTACTGGTTAAGTATTTCTCAACTCGCCTCATCTTTTGATGTTCTAATTTGGTTTATATTTACATTATAAAATATACCTGAACCCTGGATTATCAATCTCCGTAACGTCCAGCATACCCTTCTCCACGGCTTCACGTTCCTCCTCTTCGCTCAGCTCCCCACGCTCAGTATGTGCTTTGTCCCTCGCTTTGTTGACGCTGTACATGTAGATGTAGAGGATGACCACCATAAGGAGCTTGACGCTATAGCCGACGAGCATGGCTATGTAGGCGCTGTGATATCCAGCTGTTTGTTTTCTTATCAGTACTTGCCCAAATTTCTCTATATAAAAAGAAGGAAGATAGATTTTGCAAGGAGAAGGGGAAAGGCAACTTACAATTTTTCTCACTATCCTTGAAAGTCTGCGGCCCAATAATATTCCCCACACAATACCCGGTGAACAACACCGCACCCGTCAACTGCTTCTTGGTATACCCCGCCACATTACTACTCACCATGGTCAAACTAAGACTGAAGCCCAGCCCTTGGAAAAAACACAACCACAGCGCCACGAGCCTGCCCCATTTATTCGAGGTCGGGAGTCCGACTAAGAGTCCCGCACCTAGGATGCAGATGCAGTTTGCGACAATCATGGTTATACAGCGGGAATTGCGCGGGTAGCGAGTACAGATGATGCCGCCTGCGATTAGGGCGAGGAATTGTACGGCTCCGCCTGGGATTTGCAGGTACTGCGTTGCCAGGGTGTCGAAATTGAAGCTCTTCACAATAATGGACGTGAACGAGGTAAGCGCGGCATTAGGGACTTGAGCGCCAACGGCCATGATGAATAGGATATATGTCTTGGGATCTTTCGCTGTTTGAATAGCTTGGTATTTGGAGAAATGCCTGTTCTTGACTCCTTGCCGGTTCGCAGCTACTCTGTTGACGGCGATGAGGCGTTCGTGCTCGGTGAGGAATTTGGCGGTGGAGGGGAGGTCGGGGAGGACGATGAGAGAGACGATTCCCCAGAAGATGGAGACGCTGCCGAAGATCAGAAAGACATACATCCATTGCGGCAGTCCGGTAGTGATGTGGCCTACAGCGTAGCCAATGAGGCCGCCGAACATGGTCGCGATGCCGTTGGTGCAGTAGTATATCTCTAGGCGGAGCGGCTGCTCGGCGGAAGAATACCATATAGACATAACGAGCACGAAGCCCGGGTTGACGATTGCCTCGCAGGCGCCGAGCAGGAAGCGGTTTGTTGCTATCCCGGCGAAGGAGCTGCACGCTGGGGTTGTGATGAGAATTATGCCCCATACTATAGTAGATAGCGACAGGAATTTTCCTATGGGGAGGCGCTGGAGGAAGTAGCCAGCTGGGAACTGAGCGCCCATGTAGCCAAAGTAGAAAATTGAGGCTATTTCAACGTTCTTGTCAGTACCCGTGAGTGGGAATGGGAAGGTAGGGAAAAAGTACCAAGCCAAGAATACTGCTCGCCGTGTAAATGCGTTCCCTTTTGCAGCCCATACACACTGGCAAAGTTGATGGAGTTCTTGTCTAGATACTGTAACATGTATGTTACAAATAGAATAGGAACGATCCTGTAATCGATCTTCCTCAGCACCCGCTTGAGTTCGGCGGGATCAGCTTCGATTTCGCGGGCATTTTTGTAGGTCTGATACTCATCATCGACGTGGGATCGCAAAGCTGGGGAGATGTCTTGGTCGGATGTAGCTGGAGAGTGAGAGATGTGTTTTTCGGGGTCTGAGGAAGCCATTGCTGCAATTGAAAGACCAAGACGGAGAATTTGAAAAGGACAGAGAAAGGAACAAGAGGTGCTGCTGAAAGTCTTCAACAAAACAAAGAGAAAAAGATATAGCTAGCTGTACTTGTAGCTATCGCAGACTCTTACCTCACCCTACCCTACCCTACTTGCTCAAAATTCTTGTCCCGATGTTTCTGCGATGTGGTATTGTACCTGGGTATATACACACCACCGGCCCGCTGCGGAAAGAGATAGGCGTTGGCCACCAACCACAGCTTTGGGAATTCGAACAGACTTCTTCTACGGGGATTCTAGCGGAGCGCTGAGGAGCAAAGATTGCGTTGAAGCCGGCCAAACTCCATCATGTTATGGAGCGGGGTAACTGTTTTAGGCGATGTCGTGATTTCCAGCTCTCTTGTCGTGATGGATTTGGCCGATGAGAAGGAGTACGTAATTCAGGTGATGATGATGATGATGATAACAATGTGTACTGTACAGTACTGTACAGTAGCAGGGACGGTTAGATGATATTAGATAAGAGGATATACAGTCCGTATGTATTGTCGTTCTGGTGCGTGTTGAGGTTGAAGAGAACCTGGCCTGGGTCCTGTCTGCCGCGTGAAGATATCACGTGCTTTCGCGTTTTTGTTTTCAAACCCATGGATCGTGGCATGAATGCCCGCACGCATCCTGTGAGGATGAGAAATGAGGTTTCATGCGTACCGAGGTATATGTATGGCCAGGCCAGTAGGGTCGAGTCTCTAATACCGTAGTAAGATGTTTAGTCCAGTGCAGATGGGATAGGGGAGACCTGTCTTGTCTTTGTTAATGTAGACTATCCCTTTCTTTCTCCTCCCTCACAAGAATAAGTATCACAAGGCATGCCCTGCCTGCTTACTGTACTGTACTGTACCACCATCTTGACGACGGGCGTACCCGGTCCCAGTCATGCCAGCCCTAAGGTATTGTAGGCATTCCAAGCACTTCCTTGCACCCACCTCTGCATACAGTACGGAGGTCGTACAGTACGAGTACGAGTAATACGAGTAAAGTAAACCTCCATGTTCAAATACGGTCGTAGTTGCACTATAAACAAAGGGAGAAACATTCATGCGTTTTAAAACTTACTCACTAGTCCCGAATCCCTCACAAAGGCATTGATCATCAAGTACGTACAACGCAATATAAAAACTATCGTGGCGTTCTGCACTTGGCAGGTAAAGGATCATTGTGAATTCGTGAGAGTACGGAGCACTGTAGCCATGAGGCACAGCAAATTGATCTTCTCTGCTCGGAACTCTTGCATAAGGAAATCAAGTGGCTGCTGAGATCCTGTCACCTCACATCGGGGCTGTCTCCTTCTTGAGCTCGGGGGGGTATATGTCCGGGCCGTTATATGGCTATACATGCTGCTGATTGGTCCGCGGAATAGGGAGTGTTTCCGATCTTACGAAGTATATCATTTAGAGGTGAGATCATGTGAGTGAGCACCCTTTAAACCTCCGAGTCTCGAACCCCGCCGCTTTTGGGTGCCAATGAATGTGCAGAGTTTAGCATCTCTTTTGCAACATAAACGTCTTTTTTTTAGTTTGCGGGACAATTAAGACATATGACCGGATGTCTCGGGAAATATGCAAAAGACGTGGCATTTTATGTCTTTGCTTTTTGAGATATGGTAGAGTGGAAGCTGTATGGGTCATTCCAAACGGATTATCAGATGCTGATTTGTGGGATAGGAGACTGGACTGGACTGGTGTATATGCGATCTCTGAAGGTATAAAACATCTCTCTCAATCTCAGTCACCGGCGGTGAGTACTATAGCCTATTATTTCGCTTTGATATTTACTCATATTGCGATCTTGATACTGTATCCTCTCAGGTGCTCGCACGTCAAGACCATTAATTCACACTTTCTGTGGTTCCCTGGTGCCGGATGAAGGAGTTGTGATACAAACAGTCGAAACAACGCTCGAAATAGAAGCTCGAGGTCTAGATCTAGCGCTCTGAGCATCTTGGAATCTGGGATTTGTGCCCTGAAACGTCCAAACTCTACATTAGCACTAGTGGCTGGTAACTTTCCTAAGCTCTGCCCAAAAGAAGCTCACGCTGAGATCGCGTGTTTAAGTCCCCTTATTGGCCCGACACGGGTTAGCGTTGAAGAAGTCCAGATACCACGGGTGCGTATCGGCCATACCGGTCCGCTAGTTACAATCCGAGAGAAGCTACTGAGAAGGGGTCGCTCGCTCGCTTAGATGCTTTTTGTCGGGTTTTGAAGTTTGTACCAGTCTTCACTCGGAATTTTCATTTCCTTCAAGTTTCTAAAATGGTATGAGGAACATGGCGGGCCACCGCGGGAGTTGCCAAGTAGGTTTTCGTTGGAAACAATGCTGTGATCAGAATGCAAGCCGTGGCGTAGGTACCGACTCCCGAGGTACCAAATTGTTTGGCATTTCTCTCTAGATCTTTATGGGGCCCATATTTATCTCTAATTCGTCCGAGGTGTTCGTGGCTCCCGTCCATGTTAATGGCGATTTCTCTATTCCAAGTCCAGGTATAGATGCCAGGTAGTCTGAGGTAGAGAGAACCATTACGACTTTACCATGAGGTTGATATAAACGTTTGCATGTGAGCAAGCATTAACGCGTTGGTTCAGAAATCAGAAGCCAGCAGCTGTCAACAGGGGATGAAGTGGGACGCCCCCAACGGTACTTAATTAACGGTGTTGTGGGAGACAGGGAGTCCAGGATGATGGTGTCAGCGCCGTTCAAGGAACCCTGCAAAGGCACCAGACAGGCATGGCACGAACCACATCCAACAGTCGACAGGGGGCGATCTCTGCCGTCGACTTGTGAACTCGTGCGCGATTGAAGAAAGGATGCGCTCCTATTGGACCTTCCACTATAATATGTGCCCAAGGACCCGAGCGCTGCATGTTGTTTGTCTCACCAGCAGCCAGCCCAAGAAAATTTGGTTTGCGAGATTGAAGTGGAAGATGCGTTTTGGCTATTCTTGAACGTTGGCTTTACTTGATAACAGTACCGCAAATGTCATGGCCGGGGTGCTGGTGAGGCTCCAGATCGCCAGACCGGGCACCCACGGTTCATGCTTTGACAGGTCATGTTGGCGCAAGATGCCAACCCTCAAGGAAGAGCTAGAAATTCTCCGAATGACCAGGCAAGGCCTCAGTCCTTGAGGGTTGAGGGGAAGCAGCCCCACGACTCTTGAGCCTGGTAATCTATCTACCGGCCATGGGTCAGTAGTAAACACCCTAAAGCTTGTGTTTTCCAACGTCACTTCATCATTTCAAACTTGTTATTGAACCTTTCAAGATGCAGTCAGCAGAAGCAGTAGTTTTCGGAGTTCCTGTTAAACCGAGTCCGGCGATGATTGGGCGAGGGACTGACTCGGATTATACGCTGGACACAATGAGCATAGCATATGCGCTGGAAAAAACTTCTAGCGACACGGTTAAAGACTTTCAAGATAGGGCGAAATGATGGCGAAAGGCTTGTTTACGGAGGTATTGTACAGTCGTTAATGTCGGGGTCTGGCGGTGACACTAACGAGTTTTGATGAAGGGAGGAAAACAGAGCAAAGGACAATCCGCAGCACGAAAGTACCTGTGATATTGCCCGGAAGGCCAGTGAGCCGGTTCGGTTCCACAGACCAGTTCCTACAGTGCGGTAATAGTCCCAGTGAGCAGAGCAGCAAAGAATACATCAGTATTTGCATGAATTCATGGGTGAAGCTGAGCTGCAGCATAGCTGAGTTAAGACGCAGGCTGATGAAAGGCTTCGCAAGCCGAAATTATTACTACGGAGGTATTTGGAGAGCTTGGGCTTGGTAAGCTAAACTAGGCACAGCTTGGTGGGATGGACCAAATAATTCATACTTCGAAGTATACAAAGTACGAAGTGCAAAGTGCAAGTTGCAAAGACGGCGGCGGAACTAGACAGAGTTGGAAAATGATTTCCACCCGACATTTCTCTGAGGCTTTTGAAGTTTTGGTTTGAATTATTCATGTTGCGATTTTGATAGTAGGGCGTGATCGGCGCACATCGACACCGACGGCTTCCTGATTAGGAAGTTCATCTCCGGGGCTACTTCATGCAATTGCGCGTCCATTTTGGATCGAGAGCTGGAGGAGCAAAAGGGCGGCGAGGATTTGTTTCGGGTGTGGCCCAAGGCACCGAAAGCTTTCTATTCGATAATGCAATCATATGTGGCCCGTCTTATTGCAGCGCCGTACGGCCAGGCTCGGGCAAATTTTGGCAGAGAATACGGAATACGCAGTACGGGGAGGAATATGTGGTGACGCTGTTTACTAACACATATAGACATGGCCAGATATGAGGCGGATGTTGGTGGACGATGGCGACCAGAAATCCAGGAAGTACAAGTAGATGTTGAAGAGTAATACAGCGAGCGCACGTCTTCACAATAATCCATTCATGTCCCCTAAATTAATTAGCTATTTCATGTAAAAGAGCAAGATCGTACGATCGAGGGCTGGGGCAAGAAAAACGGGCTGAACTACTGAACGACACAAGCCACTTCACTCCACTCTCTGGTCCTCTATCCACCTTCCTCCCCCTCATCCGAAGAATACTTCCGTAGGCGTACGCAGTAGTAACTTAATTTCGACTTGAAAAGGAAGTGCCGTCAAAGAATCTTACTGGGCCCGCTCTTATTTAAATTTCTTCAGCGAGACTTCTCGAACAAGTTACGCCGTTGAAGCCTCCGATGGCCTGTCAAAAGTCTGGAGATACTTCTATTTCTATGCCCTTGAAAAATCACAGTATCCTTGTACGCACCCCCGCTATCTCCTGAGTCCTCAAGTTCAACGGCTTTCACAGACAGGGTTGCCTCCCACGCCGGTCAACGCTGCCGCTGCCTTCCTTCCCTTAAACCCCCTAAAGTAATAAACATCGCCAGGGCCCAAGACTTCCTTCCCTCCCGTTTCCAATCAAAGCTTCTTCTGCATTTCAGCACAAGGATCAGTCAACGGGCG